GAAAAATAAACAACTGCATTTCTGTGATGATTCACATATAATCATGACTGTAACAAAACATCCTCATACATGTCGAATGAAAAACAATCATCACCGAAAGTTATGATGTGTAGAATAACCTGTTTACTGTACATGGTAATGCTTTAATCAAAGAATACTGTAGTCAGTATGATTCATAGTTATTTCCACTTTTTAAATGGAACGTGTTTGTAGGTATTTTTGGCAAGAATTACAAGGAAAAATTATGTGTAAGCTCGAGCTGTTTTTTATAATGGTAGCTACGCCCCTGTTTGCATGTGTTGTTGACGCGCCATGGGCGCCTTGTAACATCACTATTTGATTATGATTCACAAACACATGCCAATGATATGGTCGGAATCGTGCCGAGGATTAGCAGATATTTATCATGAAAACAGGTTTTTATGTAGGTGGCTTGAAACTCGCTTTTACAAAGGCCTATAGGTTCGATCACAATACATTTCGTTTTACAGCTTCTCTTTTCTTAACATGCTCACGTCAAAACTGATTTAAATTCTAATCGAAGATAACACAATAAATAGTATGCCAAATTATCGTTACCATGACAACCCTGTGAGAGTAATGCAGATGATACTGTCGGCCGTAAATTTTGATAAGTTGCTTCATCGCTATCAATAAACACTGGGTATCTATACAATTATATGTGTGATCAAAGGCCATATGATAGATTATATGGTCTCTGGTGTGATGGAGGAGAACTTGCGTCGCTAGTTTTCTCGATAATCTGAACACATGTATGTAGCGTGAAACCGGCAGATACCTTTAGAAGAAAGTGTTTGCCCTACCTGTAACAATGATGCCCCGTGTCTATAAAAGGGATATAATGTGGGGATGAATGACATGTACTTTTAACCGTTTATGATGATACATACTGCGGTCTTTCACAATAATCCCTCTGGCTATCAGATTGAGGGTACGTTTTAAACATAACCGGAATTTCTATTATTGTATTTATAAAGTTCTTCGAACGTTCTCCATATACGTCCGTCAGATACATCGCGCACTACCCTTTTCTCTTTTGATCTTCCCCAACGACTGTTACAAGTTCAAAGAATCGTGGTCAAAGTAGAAAAGTCTTAAGACTATTCCCTACAATTCTGTAACTTACACATTGTACCCTACATGGGTAGAGCTTCCGTTCGGGGGGATATCACAGTGAGTGAGTGAGTGAGGTTGGTTTTACGCCACTTTTAGCAATATTCCAGCAATATCACGGCGGGGGACACCAGAAATGAGCTTCACACAATGTACCCATGTTGGGATTCGAACCTGGGTCTTCGGCGTGACGAGCGAACGCTTTAACCACTAGGCTACCCACCGCCCCGGGAATATCAGAAGGACAACGATACAGTTATTTCCACTGTTGAAGAAAGCACTCCACTTACTTAGGAAAACACTTAGATATTGTGTTCATGTCGGAATGATATTTTCAGCTCCTGTCAGATCTGAACTTGAACATGCGAGGTCTGCGTCTGTGTCAGACTAAAGGACTACAAGATGTTTAGCAACACTGGGGCGTAATAGCCATAGATCTTCTCCAAACAACGGAATATATATCTTGTGAGAATGACTTCTCCGACAGGGAAATTTACAGCAATGCGACATCACAATTACTTACGTGAAATTTACTCGCAATCTGAGTTATGGATCGTCAATTTAAACAGGACAATATAGACGAATTTCACAAACGTCACGGAGATCCAACATGCCTATGATATACTCAGAGAACGCACCCGCCTGTGCTATCTGGTCATAATCGCTACACGATAAAAACAATTTTTCATTTCATGTTTCACAGAATATATAATTTGATATGGCATTGTTTGTTATCGTATACTTTTGCGTTAGTGAAACAAATGTGGACAAGTTTAAGTTTATGTATGGCGCTATTTCAGCAAAGGCTGAGCGAATGGAGAAATAACATTGTTCAGGCAATGTGAGACTATTAAGGAAGGTCACATGCAGTCCAATAATATTCCAATTATGTACTGCCACAAAATAGTTTACAGTTGTGATGCGCGAGCTGAACAGACTTAAGAAATTACGAGTTGATTCGTGTAGCATATTTTGCTGTGCTCCAAGAGAGACAAAGTGCTATTCTATTTGGACAGCTAGGGACACTTGCGATGACAAAGGGGCAACGCATCACCCTTTGTTCACCACTGAACCTTTTAATCCCTCGAAACCTGCACCTCAAAAGATTTGCCAACACCACAGACAAGGCGTAACTGATACTGGTAGCAAGAGCGAGTGCAGCTTGATAAGGCGTGTGAACTTGCGTAATACTGCTTTCTTTGTCAGGCTCTTTTGGTGATAAGAATATTGAGGTCATGTGAACGTTGATTTCAAAAGTACTAAAATGTGTGAAAGTGAAATTACATGAACCAAGTTATATACATGATGGAAACATATGATCATCTTGCTTGAGTACAGGTAAGATGAAGGTGTATAAACCGTTCATATACATACCCCTGAAATCCGGTATGATACATAAATATCTAAGGTGTGTAAATATTTGCAAATTTGAAAATTTACATGTGTTTCCCCACCTAAGTAAATTCACATGTTTCCAACCCGAGGAAACTTAGAACGAAATCGGAAATTTCAGCACCCATTGAAATTCAAAGGAATGCATTAGAAATACTGTGTGATCATGTATTTACCGGGGTATCTGTTTTGCAATTCATATTTGGAAATCCCTGACAATCCGGTCAGGGCATACATGAACGAGGTGCTTGTGCATACGAAAATGTACGATGAGCATATGTTTCAAAGGTATAGATTCATATGAAATATATGCCCGAAGTTAGGAAATATCTAAAAACATACGTAAATCCGGTCATGGCATGTATTTCCTACTGTATTTACGTTTATTTCAATGGTTTACTATCCGGCTTTTGGTCCTGTGTTTATGAAAGTTTCTACTGTTCACCTTGGTTGTTATGGCCATCGTATGCTAATGTTTTAATAGTCCATCAATGTATGGACGACTTAACTTCAATTTTCTGTTTCTCAGATGCCGCATGTTTTAATACTGTGTTATTTTCTAGTATTTTTTCACTTGTATTGAATATAGAAGCACATAACTAATTGTGTAATGGTTATTTTTTGCTTGTCAATAGCTGACATATATCCAGTTGAGCAAGACAGCGGCATCATTAGCTACAGCAGCTGTATAAGAGTCGGAAGGGGCATTGATTTGGTACGTGACATGCAGAGGGTCACTTACTTTGTACATAATCAATGCCCAGTATTAATTTGCTTATTTTTGTAATGTCAGGCAAATAAAATCAGGAATATAGGGACCATCCATAAGATACATGACACCCCCCGATGATTCATGATCCATGATCCGAAGCTCTACTAATCATTGCTGTCTGCGCTAACACAAAGGCGGTATGTAAAACCATGTCATTGAAAGTATGTTTATTCGTACCGTGTTATTAATCGTAGAAAATGTGTTCTTTTTATTCATGGCAGAATTTGTCAAAATCACCACCATCTGAAGGTATTGCAACATCTTCATCTCTTCCCAAACACGAAGAAAACACAATCTGGCAGACAATACTGCAGATTTAATGACGACGTCCAATGCCACATGCACAGCCTTCAATGTGTGCATAAGAGGGCACAGATGCTGTGATTGGTCATTGATGCAACGAAGTAAACTGCTGTTCAGAAGGGTGATCACTGCAATTATAGTTCCAGACTCAGTTATGTAAATATTTTCAGACATATAACCAAGAACGGGTTACACAAATTCCGGCTGCATAACGAATATGTGTTTGCCTGTTTAACGCCGCACACAGCTATGTTATCTCTGTCTGACGGTGGTCTGTAGATAAGCCGGACCAGACAAACCTGTGATTGACGTCATGAGATACGATGTTCGTGTACGTGAATCACTATCAATTAAAGATACACGAAAAGGTGCAAATACGCATTATAAATAAAAAGGTGAGCGTACTTGCCCTACCGGTGGCACCCATCAGAAACATGAAACATCTTCGGATCAGGAATAATTGAAATTCTCGTTACAACAGCATGTTTGATTGTATCTCAAAGGTTGTGAACTTTAGCAGAGATTTCTTACGGTTGTGGAAATTGTTTTTCCGTTTCTTTTTCATTTCTGAAAATGAAAAGAAACAGTTAGAAGTCAGAGAGTACCATTTTCATTGCACAGTTTCCTCTGATATCTTCAAAGGTATTCTCCACGAAGGGGGTTATTTGAAAGTACTGTAAGATGACTGTCCTTCCGAAAGTGTGCGTAACTCCCAAAACTTTCCAAGTAAATTTACCTCTACACACCTTTTTATTCGTAGAATATTTGTTGATTTATATGTATTAGTACAATCGCCAATGGCTGAAGGGCTGGTATAAATCCAGCTGGGGTCCATGCAGGTAGCCAAAGTACTGTAAGTCCCCCTGGTCCCTATAGTGGTGATCTACCTTCAGTTATTGGCGATGCTCAGACCTTTTTAATATTGCCTTGTCCTAATTTGAAATCCTGTTTTAGGGACATATGCTAGTTTTATTTCTTATTTCTGTGATATACTAGTTGACTTTTCTGTCCTTCGTCGACAGGTTCTTAACATTTGTGCATTTATCACGAATTTATGACCATTTTAAGTCACGAGATGGCTGAAGTACTGCCGCTGTGACTATAAACTTTAACTCATTCACGTTAACACACTCACTCACTCACTCGGAGGTATTCATTCTATGAACAAAGTAAAATGATCGGTCGTAGTTTATTATGTACAAAATTACAAGATTTCATTAATGCTTTTCAGCAATCATTTAGACTTGTTTTTGCACTGTTACAATGTATCTCGATTAAATGGTTGAAACACTATCGTCTAACTAACATATCGCAAATCAGATACATCATAAATGGTAATAAAAATACTATCCTAGTGATTCACATATTCCAAAACATGACATGCATGTATGTAAGGTTTTGCAACTATATATTTGTCAGTTAGGTTTGATCTATATGCATTTTCTACCTTGTGACGATTCGTGTCTCTAAAGCATTTTACGTTGTTTTGTGTATCAACTGTGAAAATCGCCAAACCCATTATCTAGATATTGAATCATATTACTGAATTTAAATTGGTTTAAATTCGTGTGTCAATGGCGTTTTCAGAGGTCACTGCAAATGATGAAGACAGCCTCCAGTGTGTGCCGGGTTCCATCGATTTCTTTAATTTCTAGAAACAAAGAAATATAAAAGAACTATTTGTTACACATTGTAGCATCTGTCTTATATGTTAAGAGGACCGGTGGGGTAGTTAAAGCCATCGCTCGCCACTCAAAGAGTGAGTTAATATTTATCGTCACATCGCCAATATTGCAGCCATATCGTGACAAGATCAATTGTATTAGAGAAACATAAATGCAGAAATTAAAAGCCTGTTGACGAAGAACACTTAAACTACCAGTGTCTCACAGATATTCAAGTAAAACTAGCATGTTATCACAAAACGATATTGATAAAATGAACAATAAAATACAAAACCAGGCTATAGATCGCCAACAACTGAAGGTAGATCACCATACTAGGGACCATATGCGCTACTCGCAGACCCTAGTTCGGTTCCTCTACATGGATACAATGTGTGAAGCCCATTTCAGGTGCCCACCCACCCCCGTGATATTGCTGGGGCATTGCTAAAAGCGGCGGCGTAAAACTAAACTCACTGACTTATATATTAAGAAACAACACAAGCAGCCCAGACAATATATAGCCTATGACATGACTCTTTTGTACACGAGACAAAGTCATATACCTTGGGGAATCAATTGGTGTTTACATGTCATTAAACATGTAAATATTATATCTGAACATTTTTCCGAACAAAATCACTATAATTAACATGGTTCAAATGTATACGATGACCTTACCTCTTTCACTGAATTTCCCTCTGTTTTGTACACCGTCCAGATGAAGACAACCGGCAAAGGTAAGATTGAACCAAAGGATATCATCCATCCAAGTCCCGTAGCCCAGGTAGGGTAGATGTAGTCTCCGTAGTTAGGGGGTCGGTAGGAGTACAGGGAGTAGCAGAAGATGATCTGTGAGCAGAATGATACCAGAGTGACGAACCATTTGTGGTGGTTTATTGTGTACTTGGACACGGGGGTTGATGAGCATCATATGCAACCCAACCAGTGTAGTTTAGAAACACCTTGCATGCATATACAGTTTCCAAATATAGATGACGTATATCAGACAGGGAGTCAGAAAGTAAATAGAAAGAAAAAGTCACGTCTCTTGGACACTCCAGAAACCTATTATTTTTGGTTTGAATCCTTTGCTGTAATTATGTTTCCAGATATGCCAACAGCACACCCGTACACCTGTATTTCACGCAGTTAGTACACATCTAAGATCTTAGTCACATAGCGGTTTCATCCTAGATCCAATCGACATGCCTTAGTATAATATGAATACTACCCAAACAGGTGCTGCACGATTGTCTTCCATACATCACTGTCATGTACTGAAGAGATACCTATTATACAGTACTATTTCCGCAATACAAACTGTCACCACCGTCACCTTGTATACTGTATCTGTATATCGCATTATCGTCAGCTTCGTTCCAACATGTTGCACAGCCAGACAGCTTGCGTGACTTTCATATGTATACCAACATAGGATTGTTGGTAGACTGCCATCTTGTATTTAAGACTTGGCCTAGTACACCACCACCACTACACAGTTTATACGTGTAAACTACTCTGAAATATGAACCAACACTGCCATCTTCATATGGGAATGGATATGGCACATGACTGGTCGCTATCTTCCAGCATAGATCAATGTCACTTACCAAAAGAAGTCCTGGGCTGATGAATTTCAGACTGAAGGTCATGACTCTTGGAACTGTCTTCCCCCACATCGAGTTGACGACCTTCTCCACCCTATGTGTTCCTAATACAAACATACAATTCCTGGTGCCTCAAATACGCTTATCACTGAGGTTGCAAGGACACTAACATTGACCACGATCTGAATTTTAATGCCAAGTTTTTGCGCAAGAGAGACACTGGTTAGAACAAGAAATATTTACACTGGTATGGGGGTCTCAATTGTCGAAGAGGTCGTGTGAACACCAAAACTGAAAAAGAATGGTAATGTAGACACAAAACCAATTAGAAATGTGTTCAAAATACTGCAAGATCATGCTTGTTGTAAGTGACACCGTGGGGTCGCTCATTCTTTGACCCAGGGACAGGCTTGAATTTTGTCGTTTATAGTTAGTATGGTTATATTATGTTTCATTTCGGTTTTGGTATGTTCCTAATCTGGAACAAGATGCTTACCATAGATCCAACTGACAACAATGCATTCCAACATGCCAAAAACTGCTATTGACGGGAAAAACGCATACCAGTCCACCAGTGTAAGCATGTACATTCCTCCCTGTCATAAAACCGATTCAACATTATAGAGACACGTGTAACTGAAAGGTATTATGACAGAAAACCTGAGGGAATTCACTATGCTCACCTGATTAATACTCATTTGAACCTTTGTAATGGGCTTACTCAAATCCGCTCCTACCAATCAGCAGTCAGTAATTTGTAAAGGCTCTTGCTGAATAATTGCGGAAACCCAAATCTGAATCCAATTAGGTCCAGTCAAACATTTGTAGACACTACAAGTTGACAGGGAACCTACCTAAGTTCATGCTTTGGTTAAATACTTTTCTTGTCCCGTGTGACTTCTTCACCAATGGCGTATGACTTTGTTAACAATTCATGTTAATAAATGCATCTTTGCTTCTCATGGAGATGTAACAACGTGTACATATATATGTGTTAGATACTGGTATTTTACCCGAAACATTTACGTACATATAGCTTGGGTATGGATAAAAGTCTGATGTTATTCCTTATGATTTATTGCATCCTCTGTCTCTACTCCCTCATGTACGTACCCGTGAAGATCCGGGTTAGAATTGTCTTCAGCAACCCGTGCTGGTAAGGTTCGCTCACTTGGTTGACACATGTCATCGTATCCCAGTTACGTAGATTGATGCTCATGCTCTTGATCACTGGGCTGTCTGTTGCAGACATGATTATTTACAGACCGCCGCCACATAGCTGTAAATTGCTGAATGCGGCGTAAAACAACAAACCTAACCAAACCTATTGTATGTTACTTTTTTCCCACCCTACTGTGTTTGCTTTAAGGCCAAGTGTATTAGAGATTTGGACGCTTCATAGTATTTTGTGATAGTTTTGGGGGATAGGAAGACGTTATATATTCACCTGTGTCATATAGAGTAGACCAAGGAGGAAACATGGCACCAGGACCATGAGGATGATCACCCAACGACGGCGAGACAGGCTTGGAAACTGATCTGACAATGCTGTTATTGCGATCTCAAAACATGGCAACTGAATAGAAACGGGATTCCAGCATATCAACCACGTTTTAGTCAGACAAACATCAACGTGTAGGATCTGACGTATTCATATACTTTATGAAATTTTGACAGCAGACGGAGAAAAATATTCGTGACGACTCCTTTAGATCAAGTTGTAAAGAAGATGTAAATACCTACACTTTTGATTTTCATTGGAGATTCTCTTCCCAGGCGTGTAATTCCTTTGTGATTAATTTTATTACCATACAATTTCAGATGTGAATGTTGATAAAGGTTTAAGACACATTTGTTTGACCACCGTCAGCCTTGATTAAATGCCTGACAATTACCCAATGTTACTTACACACGCAAGGTCTTGGACGTCTAGTATGACAAGCCAAATAAGAATGTATATGAATAGGCATGGTTTGTCAATTGTAAATAGACAGTCATTTATGCAAAAATGTCTGTGATCCATGCTTACATTCCCCTGTACCTATGTACCGATTGATCAACAGGTACAAAGGTAAAATTTAGGAATTTCAAAAACGCTTCAGTGAGCTTCTAAATTCAGCATTTCAACACATTTACCCTTACCATACAAACTCAAATATGATATGACTATGTCCCCATCTGAAGACATTCATACTATTGGTAAGTATTTGCTCATTTCGTGGACCATGCTGATTTCTGTGGGTCGAAAGGGGCTCTCGTCAAACTTAAAATATGATCCATTACCAGAGAGTCGATTCCGAGTGCTATCAACGTCAAGAAGGACAAGGCAGACCACACCTGAGGCAACGGGAGTGAACCGAGGGCTTCTGGGTAGGTGATGAATCCAAGGTTGTATCCTTGAAACAATTAAACGATTTTAAACATCAAAATCTAGGACATTGGCATGAAACCACAGACGACCACCGTGAAAGCTTGACAGATACTGTCTCACTTACAACTCACTGCATGTCAATATCATTTATGAAACAACGTTAACTATAAGAACAATCCAAAGAAGAATGCCGATTAGGTACAAACATAGGCACCCGACTCTGATATATTTATATGTATAACCTATATATACTGAGTCAAAAAAGAAACTTCACAAAATGTAATTTGAAAAATAATTAATAATGTTTCTCTGATGATACATCTATGTATCAGAAATGGGATCCCTATCTTTAGACTCTAGAAAAACGTTAGCAAAACCCACTCAAACCCATCCATTCGTCGTGCAAATGACGTAAGTGCCAAATCAGGTTTTGCACGTGCAGTCGATCACGTGATTTTCGCATCGAAGTTTTCTTCATATGCACGTGTTTGCATTGGCCTCAAGCATTGAAAAAACACTTTTAAACAACGGTACTTGAAATGCCACGATTGTCAAATGTGCAACGTGAACGTGCCGTTAGCATGTTGCAAGCGGGAAGATCAGTTATTGACGTCGCAAAGGCAATGGGATACAGCCGTGGTACTGCGAGGTCGTCTAAAACAAACTGGCACCACTTCTGATCACCCAAGGTCGGGTCGTCCACGTGTGACGTCACGAGCAGAAGACCGTCAAATCGTCCTACGTGACAGATTTCTGCCGGCTACACGAACCAGGGCAGAGATGTTTAGAGGTCGACTGTCCTCACAGACCATTCGAAATCGGTTGTGGGCTGCCAATCTCCATTCTCGACGTCCATATCGTGGGCCAATATTGACGCCGTTTCATCAACGTCAACGTCTGCTGTGGGCCCAACGTCACCTCCGATGGACCCAGAGAGACTGGAATCGAGTCGTCTTTAGCGATGAATCCAGGTTTACCCTCAGATTCGCGGACTGCAGGCATAGAGTCTGGAGACGACGTCGTGAACGGTATGCCCAATGTTGTGTACAGGAAGTCGACAGATTCGGGGGCGGAAGTTGCATGGTGTGGGGTGCTTTCTGTGGGAACAACCGTTCCCGACTTCTGGTCATCCGTGGAAACCTCACAGCTGCTGCTTACCGCGACCAGGTGTACACCCCTTAACTCGTTCCTTTCATGGCGGCTCATGGCCCAGGTCTACAGTTCCAGCATGATAATGCTCGGCCGCATACCGCGATGTTGACACGAAATTTCCTTCAAAACGCTGAAATCAACGTCATGGACTGGCCATCGAGGTCCCCTGACCTTAATCCAATAGAGCACGTTTGGGATGCACTTGGGAGAAGGCTTCGTGGTCTTAGGAACCAACCTCAGAATTTGCAGGAACTTGGCGCTGCCTTGCAAGCGCAATGGCGCAGAATCCCCAACCACGTGTTCACAAGCATCAGGCAGTCGATGAGGAGACGGTGTTTGGCAGTGGTGAATGCGCGGGGCGGCCATACACGATATTGAACTGAGAAATTTCGCATTTTTATTCTTGTGACTTGACATTCTGTATACCCATGTTTTGGAATGGCGGTGTAGCCTAATGGAACTGATTATGGCACTGTCAGTGTATCGAGTACATCACACAGATCTCAGCAATGAAATAATAACAATTTAACCATCTTACCATCTCTTGTTCTTTTATAGTGCCCTGAAGAAAGAATGTGAAGTTTCTTTTCTGACTCAGTATATATCAGTATATCTTTCATATATGGGTCATACTAATAAATATATCAGAGTCAGACGCCTATGGGCACAAATAATATTCTTTCCATGGCGTGACCTTTGATGTACGTAATTGGTGTTCGTTGCTAAAGAACAATATTCGTGATTGCCAAAATCCCCTCCGATATGCAGTTAGATGTCGGGATGGGAAGTCTGTCTTCCACATGCACTAGGCTGTTGTGTTTGGGCGTTTGAATCAAACATGGTGCTGGTGTGTTTCAGCATCCTTGCTTTTCGCTGTTTTTAACAATGTTTCATTTCACTCAAACTGAACGAATATTGAATCAGTTGCTTCACTGCATGTTCCAACATGTCGTTTAAAGTGCCTATTATGCACACACAAAATTGCTTTTACCTTAGAGTATAAATGACCTCACCACGTTTCAGTTTATATACGACTATCAAGTAATTACCAGTAGATTACCAGTAATTGACTGTAGATCACATGCCAGGGACCAGTGGTACTTTTGCTACTTGCATGCACCCTTGCTAGATTTGCATCATTTCCTCAGGTTTCATTGCAGATTATAAATGGCCAAGAAATGATTAGAAATGATCAATACCTGATGACTGAAATGCCTCCACAGTCACACCACGTTGGTAGGCAACGTGACCCATGATAGCGAAGAAGGCAAAACCAATATATACGGATGTCAAAGCAACAGCCGCCACTAAAGTCACAGCGTCCCTAGAAGAAACGCATTACATTTAAATATTGCATGTGATATGCTATGTTATATATATGACACAATTTTCACATTATCATAAACGTCTTTAATAAATCCATGAAATTAACGTTAAACACAATGTCTACCTGAAGCAATTATTGTTGAATTTGTTGTGCCCTGCCATAGTTGGAAGACACCCAAACGCAATTCCGACTGTAAGCAGGGCAAAATTACAGGCCTCAATCCAAATCTGCAAATGGAGATGAGTATTGATGACAACTGAATTTACAAGACAAAAACGAAAAGTTCTTCTTCAGTTGAAAGATTATGCATTATCAGTATGTATTCCTTTCGTGGATAGTTTCCTTTACAACAGAACGTCATACAACGAAAGAATTATAAGTAATGCATTTTATCCTTGAACATTTAAGTTCTGATGATTTTATGCTGTTGGCAGTCCGCAAAGCCAAATCTCACTGTATCGTATTATGTTTAGGAATCCATAGGAAGGAGAGCCTATCCTGTCCCATCGGCGGTACCGCTGAAAACACTTACGTTTTTGTCACTGAGTAATATATAGGTTCTCCTATACTGAGATATTAATCATGCAACTCCTTACCGAATTTTCATGACGTTCATTGCAATCGTGGGAAAAAGAAGAGGCTCGACTGCAACTCAAAATTATCAAATGTAAACACCAAACGCTTGAGCTGTTTGAATATTGCTCGACATGAAGATAAATTTGAAGGCTGGAAATTTGAAATCATCCCTCTTGCCATACAGTCTTGTGATTATTTTCTGTTACTCTAAATGTCTATGCATAGACTTAAATATCAAACACATGAATGGGTCTTACTATTGTAAGTTCAGGTGCGTATATTAGTGGATAAGCATTGGGTATTTGATGGTTGATGAAAAATATGACTGACTGACTGAGTTTGGTTTTACGCCGCTTTTAGCAATATTCCAGCAACATCACGGCGGGGAACACCAGAAATGGGCTTCACACATTGTGCCCATGTTGGGATTCGAACCCGGTTCTTCGGCGTGACGAGCCAACGCTTTAACCACTAGGCTACCCCATCGCCCCACTACCCCTTAAGCTAAAGTTAAACTTTTTGCTCAAATTACCTGGTTTTGATTTTGCCAGCTCGAGCTGAGATTCATATGCATAAAGAAACTGCAAGGAGGGGAACACAGTTGTAGACGCTTACTTCTTGTCTAAATGTTTTGCTCTGAATCGTATCACTGAGCACTTCACGTAATGTTTTCTCATTCAACTTCAGATGATATCCAACCGTCATGCATTGCCCCCAATCTCTGAAGATAGCCTCTTATATGGAAAGGTTTCAGTACAAATTTAAAAAACCCAAATGATTACTTTCTGGAATTGTAAACATACACGAACGTACTTTGAGAATCCATTTTGTATTAAATCCAGTTGTCTCAAAAACCTGTTAATAGTATTGGTGTCCTTGTTTGATACTGATAGTAATGTTTGAGACAGTGAATGAATCCAGCAACATATCTCTCTGTGTACAGATCTTGTCAGCTTAACACAAAGTGGCCTCAGTTGTCAAACCTTAAAGGTCACATGTAACCAAAAAATCAAACATAATTAAAACACAATTATCACTTATTCATGACACATAATATACATTGCTGGGTATGAAAAAACATATAAACAAAATTATAAGCGTACAATCGCAAATCAAAAGTGCAATATTGTGTACTTGGGTTTACTTCCCAAGAAACGAAGCGGCCGGGATACCGAACCCAGTCAGAGCGGGTGGGTGTGCACTCAAGTGTAACTGCTGGTTCATTTGCTCACGCCCTCACGGCTCATTGTGTGTGTATATATAGAGATGTTGGGTTTTGTAAATACATGCTCATTTTTGGTGTATAACATTTTGCAATCAACAGACATCATAACATGTCATGTGTTCAAGTATCACACCTGCCTGTCTGTGTCATTACATAATGTGACAGAGACCGAACTCGGGCCATAAATCAATGCGTTTTGTTTATGGTGTATAGCCTGATTGGTGTTAAGTTCAAATTGCATGTGGTTATCGCAGTTGTGTATTGAATATTGTCATTAGCAGACACGCAGGCAGACACACAGGTGTCAATAAAACAAGACATTGAGTTTTGTCTGTGACAACGACATATCTATATCACAGTTAGAAATTCTGTCAACGCTAAATAATGACATTGCTTTTAAGTATCGAACTGAGAAAGTGACTCGGTAAGAAGAACGTGTGGTGAAATAGACAAATGAAATTATATAAACAGTTTATTTACTGTCATTACATATAAAAAGCTCGCTCCTGTGAGATATCAACAAAACATTAGGAAAATAGCTCACACCAAAGTCTTCACCGAGTATTCACCGGACAGCCCGCTTCCAAGTTGCGCGAACCTATTTCACTGCGCACGTGCTATGAGCGCAGCCCAGCTGTTGAAACCAGTTTCCCCGCGAAAAGTCGGGGAAAAATTAGTGAAACGTTTGAACTCCGATTTCGCGCGGCTTTTTTCATCGCGTTATTTTTCAACTTTATAAGTTGAATTTGCATTTTTGATGATTTGTTTCGGTTAGTCCATACCGAAAGGTATCAGAATCTGCACAGTTGTGTATTACGTTGCATGTGACCTTTAACTGACATAGTTTTACTTTGATATTCGACTGTATATTTCATAGTAGGTCGATAGTGTGGAGCAGGGCTCCTTTAATTTCTTTATCTTCACCTTTGGATCCAACAGCCTCTCAAAATGTGGATAAATGAAGAAATATATGCCGTCAGCAGAACCCGGAAGTAGACAGCCCCTGATGAGGAAGACAGCAATAAGGATGTAAGGAACGCCCACGGTAACGTACACCACCTGTTACAATAGAAACACATGATAAAACTGAAGTTGATAATAGGAGCACATGTATGCTGGATCATGATCACTGAAGTTGTCCTAAACGTCAAAGACCTCGTTTAACAATTCATAGCGCAATAAATAACATCGTTTCTTTACCTTTCCTGAAACCTTTATCCCTTGGAATAGACATACGAACGCCAGGATGTATGTGATAAAGAGACAACCAACTAGGGGCCACCGTATACTACCGAGATCTTCCAGACCGTCGCTAATCTGTAAGACCTTTAACCTGTTGAAAACAGAGGTAATGTACTCTTTGAGGTATTTGGCGATATTTGAGATGTGACTCAGAGATAGAACGAGCAGTAATGAACAATTACTAAACATCCACTGTGTGCTTTGAACTCACAAGAAAGCATTGAGGTTTATCATTTAAGTGCTGTGATAATGGGAAATTAGGATAATTCTGACTTTTGATTGATTCCTCAACTACAGTTTTCTAAAGGCTGCAAATGGCATTCTATCACTCTGTTTGAACATAAAGGAGTAACATATACATGAAATAATCAGAGATTCAATTACATAACATAACAGTTTGCATTTGTCAATGTGTTTGGTTATATCTATTTATTTCATGTATGCACTACACACGCTTATTTGCGTAACTGATAACAAAATGACAACGTTAGAGAACAACCTTTCTAGATCCTCCACCAGAACAAATATAGCGCAAAAGAGAACTGAGCTAAGGGTCCACTCAGTCAGTGATGTGTTCACTCGGAATTTTGTCTATCTGCTTCCCAGCTACTGTGTAGTTTTCAGAACCTTTTTCAAAATATTACGCTCTAACATCTTACATGTATGTGGAAAAGTAGACGATTCACAGCAGTGTCATCTGACTCACATTGATCATAAATTGATATATCAGTATGAAACATGTATTCTAAAAAAAGATCATTTAATATGAACTTGAAGTAACTGTTTAACATCATTTCAGTATCAACGGTGCTCTTAATGCCCAAACAAAATGTTGACTAATACTGTATCGGTCTTATGTACGCTCATGAAAACTTTATAAAAATACTTCTCTTATGGACCCGTGAAGAGCCGGGGTAGAATAGGTCTTCAACAACCCATGCTTGCCACGAAAGGCGACTATGCTTGTCGTAAGAGGCGACTAACGGGATTGGGTGGTCAGGCTCGCTGGCTTGGTTGACACATGTCATCAGTTCCCAATTGCGCATATCGATGCTCATGCTGTTGATCACTGGATTGTTTGGTCCAGCCTCGATTATTTTCAGACCGCTGCCATATAGCTGGGGTATTGCCGAGTGCGGCGTAAAACTAAAGTCACTCAGTCACTCACTTCTCTTATATGGCATCCAGTTTCACATTTTAGCTGAAAAAGAATGCCCCCTTACAATTCCGTAGAGACGTTTCCGATTTTCTCATTGAAAATGGAACAATGAAATGTGTATTAAGCACATCTTCCACCTGGTGTCCAGAACACACATCGTGAATGAAGGACGTAGTATACCATCTTACTTCCAGAATTCTTCAGCTGCTGTCATTCCCGTCAAATCGATGGTCCTATTAGCCACGGCAGAAGAGTTGTGAATGAACATCGCTGCATTGGCAATTGAATCATTTGTGGCGTTGGCAGCTGCGTCATCGACGACATTGGTGTACGATATACACGATGGCGTGTTCCATATGTTGTCACAGGTACTCCAGGGAATATTGGGAAAGAAGGAGTGGTAGAAGTAGTAGATTAACCAGGCAAACAGAGCAGAATAGTAGGTGCTGTAGAATATGCTGATGAGGACGCCCCCTATTCCCATACCTGGATAACACAGATGGTAGTCAGAGCAATACACAAGGGCATGTATTCTTCAAATACACGTGAGTTAGTGCGTCAAAATTTAAAGTCTCCTAACAGTATTTCAGGCATATCCTACGGACATGTCTTGCCAAAAAATCAGGCTTCATTGTACCTCAAAAGTTGAAAACTGGAATTTTAGAAGAGACACGTGCCTTTATTTCCAGTTCATGGAGGTAAATTGATTTACCGGAATAAGCAATTAGTCATTGTGTGCGACATCCTTGATATACCCTGAAATTCCCATTCCCCAAAATCACATTGATGATACATTAACTACACACATGCACTGTAGCCTTTGAAGGGTGAAGAAAGTTTTAGATTAAATATTATATAGTAAAGATGTATAACATCTCAGTGCGAGTGAATCGGAGCTGGGCAAGAATATGGCATAGTATCCGATAAACCTAGTTCAAAGTATCAATGTTCCACAACGGACAATTACAGTCCAAGAAATAAGTGATGTGCGTGAAATCCCGTATAAATATTCTTAAGATTGTGCGCTATTTACCAGTACATATGCCATGTGACACCTGTGCCAGATACAGTTGTGAGCTTGTTACATCAGTGTTTCTTTTGTAACAGGGAATAAGTCTTTGGAAATCTGGGATGATATACTGACCAAACAAGTTTAGTTATCGTGAACAGTTTTTTCTAGTGAGGACCGAGCACACAATATAAAACTGTATTCACAATGCTTAACGTTTTTAAGCTCAGTGTATGCAATGGATGGCTCTGGGAATATCTTAAATATTGAACAACCGTGTCACATATTTTCCCGGAACCATCGTTTTCTGCCATCTGAACATTAATGTATCGATCTAAACATGAAATGATGGTTCTGTTTCAAAGGTTTCTTGTATTGCAAATGCGGGAAAGGAAATTATTGGAGGGGACTTGGGTATTTGATCACGGATATACTTGGAGTATGAATTAGACCTCCGTATCAAATCCCTAAATTTTGCAATTCAGGCAGATATTACGAATCGTACGCACAAAGAAAACCGAGAAGCGGTGAACATTTGGCGGCCATGGTGACGCCTTCATATATCACAAATGTCTTTTATTTTAATTTTACACAATGATAAATTAACTAAACGTATGTATAGTTTTACCTTTAAACGGTGGGCACAGTTTCCATACATTGATTGGTCCGCTCTGGGAGAACTGACCTATCACAGTCTCCAGAAACACACAGGGGACTGAGCCGATGATCAAGAAAACAGTCAGCGGTATCAGGAATGCGCCTTCAAGACGTGAGTATATAATTAACAAAATGCAACAAGAGCAATACATTTCCAGCTAAATGTATCACAAGCTTGGATGTAAGCAATAAATATCCAGCGAAATGTAGAACAAACTGACAGGCCTAAATGGGACACAAGGTGGCGACTCCACACCTCTAGCCCCCGTCCCACTAGCCCCCTTTTGTTACAAGCTACAAATTAATCCCTCTAGCCCCTCTCCTGGCTGTTCTGTTGGCTGTACTCACTCCCCTGTCACTATTTCTGGTTAGGTCAGGTGTTGGTGCTCGTTAGGTACCAGTACTTGGTATAGATAATAGAGAATCACGACTCAGGTATGAATCAAGATTTCTTTCACAAGGAAAAGTTGCAAAAGCTGTACTTTGCTGAATTCACAACCAACACCTACCCGAACGAGCTTAGTAGCAGTTAATCCAGTTACAGGGGAGTGAGTACAGCTGATTAGCTAAGTAGTGGCTTGTAACAACATGGGGCTAGGGGGACGGGGCCTAGAGGAATGATGCCATGGTGGCAACCCAAATCAGTCAAAAGATATCTATCAGGTATTCAAGCTGTCCTTCCAGATCTACTGTTTTCTACTTGAAATACCAAATATTCCAACTGAAAGTGAAAAGAAGAAAATAAAAGTACAGTTATCGTTAACCATGAATACTGATGATTATGGCCATTTGATACTTTTTACAAAAATGTTGATAAATACGAAAGCCTAATTGTGCCACTTTTGGAGCACATTATATTTTTATATTAAATATATTTTCTAAACCAACATTTTTCGGCATTTGAATTGTTTACATTTCCATTCTTTTTTGATACGATATTTCTTTGATTATGTTTTTACTTTGCTTATATCTTCTTAATTTCAACTTTCTCGTTATTTCCGGATTATTTTCAAAACTCGAAATTTCGAATGTGTCCTTGTTGCAATTGTATTTTCCTTATTTCAGTTATACTCTCTAAGTTATACGGTTTCTTCTTAGCGGTATTTCAAGTACAGTGTACATTTCAATAACTGACACGTTGACGTTTTCTCTGGTTAGCTGAATTTATTCCGCGTTATTTCAATATAATTGTCGTCACATAAAGTGTTTTACATACTTTTAGAAATTCGAAATAATGAGTTTTGTCGTGTTACTTCAATTATTTTCTCGAAATTTATTACGTCCGTTTTAATAATGATTTCTGCTACCATACTGGGACCATTCATAGGCACCAAAAAGTGCGACCTTCTCATGGAATAATTCTTTTCAAATACGAATATGAATTAGCAAAGATACTTACATGAATATCGACAAACATATGTAAGATCAAAAGGTAACATATCGTAAACAGTAGACAGTAGTCCCTTCCCATTGCTTGACCTGGTTCTAGATCTATACAAACCTCCTCCGTTTCTCATACACATGTATGGAAACTTCCACATGCTTCCCACTCCAATTGAGTAGCCAAGAAGTGTCATCATGTAATCCACGTGGGAACCCCACTTCTCGTGCTCCATTTCAGCTGGAAAAGACACAAAAAATAACAGCTACACATCTGGACATACACAGGTATAAACAACGGCGATTTGCGATTGTGAAAGGGCTGAGAATGCTGCTGAAATACAGCAGTGTGCTTCGTATTTTTCCCACCGTTAGTAGTGTCATCCTTAGAGACGGCTGTTGAGCAGCACATAGCTTTTAGACACAATCAATAATCCTTTTTACAAAATAAACTGGCTGACTGACTGAGCAAAATTCCAGCAATATCATGGAGGGGGAAACCAGAAATGGGCTTCACACATTGTGCCCATGTGGGGAATCGAACCCGGATCTTCGGCGTGACGAGCCAACGCTTTAACCACTAGGCTACACATAAAATAAACAGCTGGGATGTTGGAAGACATCAATTGTACCACCACACACTCCGTAAATGTCATACATGTATACATGTTACCGTTGCTTCATATATAGCTAGAAGGATAGGAGGCTCAACGAATCAGATGCAGGATTCATACACATGCGTATATATCTGATGTCTGTAAGGTAACATCACGTTTGGATTCATGGTCATGAACAGGATAGATGTCTGGAAATAAATCTATGGTTAGATTAGATGTGCGACAGCATATGACAGCTAATACAAACGACCATAAAGGAAAGGTTAATAGTGAGAATGGAGAAGATACACACTGATTCGTTGATAAGGACAATCAGATGTGGCGTGTACAGAATTATTCACGAAGTTAGGTAATTCATCTTGTTGGAGGTAAACATTTCTTACATTGGACCTCGGCGGCTGTCTTGACCTACACTTAGGTAATTGAAGACATGGAAACACGGATGCACACTGTGAGTGAATATGTATAAACAGCAAATATTAACGTATGTAAAGAGATCATCTGTCAACTACACTATACGCATGAGAGTCTCGGATAAGGTTTGACCGTGCACTCTGTTGTTAGTATTGTAGACGGACAGACCCGTATTCACATATTTACCATCTGGTATATAAACAAAAGCATACTTCTTTGTAAATTGTCATTGAAAATGTTTGTGGTAAATAGATATTGATAAAATTTGAGTGGTGCATGTACTGTTAATGCAGACTCAACCTCCTGCACAAGGAAATTTAAACTGACGTGGCATCTTCACCAAAGTTAAGAAACTAAAAACATGAAAATGAAGAAATGCTAATATATGTTCCTATTTCAAACAGGATGACCGCCTCCGTGGTGTAGTGGTTAGAGCATCCGCCCAGAGAGCGGAAGGTCGCGGGTTCGATCCCCGACCGCGTCATACGAAAAGAGGGGAAAATATGGTACTTGTTGGTTCCTGCCTGGCGCTCGGCATTAATGGGTACAACAAGGACTGGTCGGCTCGGAGTCAGTATAATGTGTCTGAGTTGGGTATTCATGCTTCACTGCGGCATTGTATCTCAGTGGGCTAGCACTATAAAACCAGCTTAAGTCTGGGCTAGTACAAGCAGGCGCACATACACATACACACCCATGCACGTTGTCATATGAGCGAAATATTCTCAAGCACGACGTAAAACCCAATTTCACCTCACCTCACCTCAAACAGAATGAGAGCCATGCCACATATATATTTATCCAAAGCGTGTCGGAATGCTTAGGGCATAGAACGTGTCGCATACTTATGAACGCTTTTGTCCACTTTGAAAAAACCCAGTTTGCTCTAAGTTCATAACCGCAATCTACCATGTGTAAAAGCATATTGTCCCATAAATTTTGTTTGAATCAAAACAACTCTAAATTGTAATGGATTCATTTGTGTGATTGGCCCTGAGTTGGTTAATTCAGGGGTTTAGTCCTCCTAGTTACAGCGTCTTCTCATGAAGCAGACCTTTTGGGTGCAAGTTTACATCCTGTAACTTTGTATGTTGTGATAGTTGTACTGCAATATGCTCGTCTCCAGACTCTATGCCTGCCGTCCGCGAATCTGAGGGTAAACCTGGATTCATCGCTAAAGACGACTCGATTCCAGTCTCTCTGGGGCCATCGGAGGTGACGTTGGGCCCACAGCAGACGTTGACGTTGATGAAACGGCGTCAATATTGGCCCACGATATGGACGTCGAGAATAGAGATTGGCAGCCCGCAACCGATTTCGAATGGTCTGTGAGGACAGTCGACCTCTAAACATCTCAGCCCTGGTTCGTGTAGCCGGCAGAAATCTGTCACGTAGGTGACGTAGGACGAGTTGACGGTCGCATACTTATGAACGCTTTTGTCCACTTTGAAAAAACCCAGTTTGCTCTAAGTTCATAACCGCAATCTACCATGTGTAAAAGCATATTGTCCCGTAAATTTTGTTTGAATCAAAACAACTCTAAGTTGTAATGGATTCATTTGTGTGATTGGCCCTGAGTTGGTTAATTCGGGGTTTAGTCCTCCTAGTTACAGCGTCTTCTCATGAAGCAGACCTTTTGGGTGCAAGGTTACATCCTGTGACTTTGTATGTTGTGATAGTTGTACTGCAATATGCTATTTATTAGGGCTCCTTGCCTAAAGGGCATTATACCTATTGTAATCGTTCGGATTATCACTATTCATTATTCCGCCGTATTTTGTACCAAACATAACTCCTAGACCAAAGTTAAGAAACCCCTTAAATATCACCAAGGTGCCAAAAGTGCTGAAGTTGTTTGCGCAGAAAGGCTCTAGGCTGAATACCAAAGGGCAGTTAATTCAAAACTAATTCAAAACTTTCCATTTTCAAAGCAATAATCTCCGAAACTGCACGTATAATGACAACCTAATTTCTGGTATCCGGAATCCGATTTCCCTCATTTTAAGTGCAGGACCCACGGGGCTAACAGGCGCCGTTTGGCAGCTACATCTCTTTACCATATTTTCGAACAGTTGTCCGAGTATTTCGCTCCGAAAATGCGCTGAGCCCGTTTTCGTCGTAAGAGGCGACTAACGGGATCGGGTGGTCAGGCTCGCTGACTTGGTTGACACAAGTCATCGGTTCCCAATGGCGCAGATCGATGCTCATGCTGTTGATCACTGGATTGTCTGGTCCAGACTCGATTGATAACAGACCGCCGCCATATAGATGGAATATGAGCCAAAAATTGAACATGGAGCCCTACATAGCAGTTCCGGAAAGATATATAATTGTTATAATTCCCCCAGAAGACTTTGGCAGAGAAATGGCAGTGGCTGGGTAAATATATGGAATCACAATGACAGTTGCATAAATGTGTATTACACGTCATTTACGAGAAAGCAAGAAACTGCCACATCTGCAGCACCAATTATCTTGTATTATTATGATGATATATGAATATATTCATATTGCAATACATGTGTACCTGTTCTCATCGTGGATGGTACGTCAGTACAAACTAATACCCAGTTCTGATAAATAGCTTCCATTTGACGTAAAGGACAAAACATATCTGAAAAAGAAAACCCACATGAATCGACAACTGGAAATCCGTGATTATACCATGTGCATTATGCATTCCGTTAAAATCTTGACGTGATACACTATGATTAATTCCTATAATTTAATTGCTTGATTGCAATATGTAGACAGTTCTGGAGGGTACCACAGGGTAATCCAACACTGTGGGTCTTACCACTACATTCTGACATCTGCGGAGAATCTTACAGTTCCTGTCTTTATTGCTACGATCACTGCTTTTGCAGTATACTGCCTTTGCGCTTATACTGCCACTGTAATACCTTTGAAGTGATTTGCCTTAATTTGCAAATTTAGGTGATGCAATTCGTCGCCTGAAAACCAGAGTGTTCTAAGGCCACTTTTGACAAAATGAGAGTTATTATGCTCGGGGTAGGTTTTAGAGCATAAACTATTACTCTAGCAACTTTTTACAGTGCTATCTAGCTTAAAACGTGATTTTTCAAACTCAAACTTTGTTCTATCTCCATGAAAATCACATGTTGGTAATTTTCGAGTGTTCTAAGTTGTCAATTGACCAATGAGCAAGCACAATTTGATCACGTGACATTGAGATTTATCAATTTTGAAGTGATTGTCATCATGGAAATGGAACATTTTAACTCTGTTCTTATTTCTGCTTTATTTAATTAAATATAGTTCTTATGAAAATAAAACGGGTTTAAACGACAAAAATACAACCTGGTTAAAAAGAAATAACAATCAAATATCGATATAATAATAATAAAGCTGAGTTCTAGCTGTGTATTTTGACACTTAGAATACTTTGGTTTTGAGAAAAATCACGATTTTCCTTGGTCAAGTGTCCTATCTCCAATCATTTTTCGTGAATTCCTTATTTATTTCAATAGATTGAGCATATAATTTTCTGATACTGTTTTACATATCACATGCATGTGCAAAATTTGAAAGAATTCGATTGAAAAGTTCAGAATATATTGTTGTCCTAAACTTCAAGATCGAATTTCTCGAAAATAGTTTTTAGTGACTTAGTACACTCTGGTTTTCACTGGAGCGAAGCTGTCTGCATGGAAGATATGGTTTGAACAGTTCTTTGAGATAGGCCGGAGCAGTGCCTAGTATGCACTGGTAGACAAGGGTTAAAACTTTAAAGTTCACTATAGCTTAGGGTAATCCAACACTGTGCGTCTTACCACTACATTCTGACATCTGAGGTGAATATTACTGTTCCTGTGTTTATTGCTACGACCACTGCTTTTTTAGTATACTGCCTTTGCGCTTATACTGCCACTGTAATAGCTTTGAAGTGAAGTGCATTAATTTGCAAATTTAGGTGATACAATTACTAAATAATATTGTTTGTTGTGTTTTGGTCTCACACGAAGTTCTTTACGGTTTGTTTTCGGGTTAATTTTCGGTTTCAGTTTGAAAATCAACAGTTAACAATATGCATGCTGAATCAGCAGTGTATGTACAATACACATCTGTTACGGCTGTATATATTTTACTTCTTTTCTGTTTATACATTTAATGTTATGGACATTGTTAGCTGACGTCCACCTGACAAAGGTTCCAGTTGTTAGGTGATTGATTGATGAGACTGGCAAAT